ACACACGCGCACAGTCTCCATCCTCACTTTAGGACTTGCTGGTGTCAGATGAATACATACTAGCATTAGATCTGGCTTAGCTTGGTGTGTGCATATGTATGTGTAGATACTGTATGTATGTATGTATGTGTGTATATATATATATATATATATGGTGTGTGCATATGTATGTGTAGATATTGTATGTGTTACTGTATGTTATTTGTTATTTTTTGTAATAAATGAATACATAAAAAAAAAATATATATATATATATATATATATATAAAATATTTATAGATGTGTGTAAACGTTACATTTATTTAATTCATTTGTTTTATAATGAATTTTATTACATACAATTGAATATTCAATGAAAATATATGTTTATATATTTCTAGATGTATGTGTTTGTAAATGTTGTTTTTATTTATAATTCATTTGTTTTAGAATTGCTTTATTATACACAAAATAATATATAGTAAAATATTACATGATATAAAATTAAAAACATAAATACATTTTTGACTATAAGACAAATGCATATAATTGTGTTGTGGCCAAAAAAAAAAAACTAAATTATTTGTATTTGTTTTTATAGCTAAAATGAAAGCTCTTGTAATTTAGCTTCACAATATTTGTCTTTAAAATAACAAGACGTTTGACCAGAAATGTTTTCTATGATCATGCAAAAAAATAATTTCAGTCTAGTGTAATTTCAGTCTAAACTTTTGTATATATTAGCATTATTTCAACGACGCACTCTTTAATTCATATCCTACAATCTGGGATGAGGCGTCAGATGAGGGTCCGCTTTCCCACAATTGTCCACACAAGCTCTAAAAACAGTTCATTTAGCTTGGGTGTGCCTCCGTCTGACCACAAAACACCCAATCTGAACCGCAAGTAGCGCCATAAAATCACTTTTGTGTTTCTGCAGCCTCAGAGTATTATTGCTCAATAACACGCGCCTGTGTTATTCTTCCATTTCGAGTGTTTATGTTTGGACTGTGCGCTTACAATGATTTCCTGTGGCCGTCGCTATATCAGGAATCCCACCAAAGGCTTGTTTGTTGACGTTCCTCAGAGCGGCACTCGCTATGTCGTGATTTTTCGGGAAGCGGCATG